AATTAAAGCAATGACGCTAATTGTAACCTATGAAGGTAAATATATATTTTTCAGACAAATACAATGGCATCAGATTGATTGGTCTATAATTAAAACAATAACAGTAATTGTAACGTATGGAGTTAAATATATATTTTTCAGACAAATACAATAGCCTCAGATTGATTTGTCTATAATTAAAACAATGACACTAATTGTAATCTATGAAGATAAATATATATTTTTCAGACTAATACAATGGCCTCAGATTGATTTGTCTATAATTAAAACAATGACATTAATTGTAACCTATGAAGGTAAATATATATTTTTCAGACAAAAACAATAGCCTCAGATTGATTTGTCTATAATTAAAACAATGACACTAATTGTAACCCTTGAAGGTAAATATATATTTTTTAGACTATCCTTTTCGGTTAAGATGCTATCATAATTATATAAACATATGTTTAACAAAATATATAATTTTCCCTTTTTCCATCTGAGGAATAATCTGAAATGTTGAGATCGCTACTGTATGTCTAGTTGTAAGAAAGGGATAGTACATACATAATGCTGTATTCGTTTTCATGGTGTGCTTGTAAACTGTCATGAAAAAGAAGTTGATATGAATCAACTTCTAAATGGCACTAACACTAGTGCAAGTAAAAGAAATACTTGTAATTAGCCAAGTCTCAAGTTTCATTTTCATGTGAAATTTTCGAAGGGAAATTCTATAATTTATGTATGTCAACATTGATTTGAACATAAATCCCTCATCAACACATTTAATGGTTTGGCGTATCGTTTTATGTCTTCTTTTCTTACCTATGGAGCCGAACTCTGAATCAAAAAGGACGATAAAGCTGCATGTATATGAAAGTTCTATCTGTCATTTAGTTAACTCGAGTTATTCATTGTTAAGTACAGAACTATGATCATGCCTGGATACAAACGAATTCCATTTACGGTGCAAATGTATTACCAGTTGGCAAAAAACTTATTTGTGGGAATTTATGTTAATGGTTTACATAAAACAATCAATTCTTGTTGAACATTTGAAATGTAATTTCGTTTTTGTTTTTGTTTTTGTTCTTGCTATGCAAGAGTCTTCTCCGTTTGCCAACCAGAAATTAGTAGCAAGTTTTCTCCGACAAAAAAGATTAAGAACTGACTAAATATAGTTGACGTCAGAGTAATTCAAACCCATGAACATGAGGTCACGGTCATATGAAACCTGCCAATCAGACATGTACAACTTACATTCCATACACCAAATATAGAGAACTTATTGTTTATAGTATCTTAGATAGACAAAACCACAAAAACTAAAGATTGTGCACTGAAAAATAAAAATGAGGTCAAGGTCAGATAAAACCTGCCAGTCTGACAAGTACACATTATAATCATCCCATACACCTAATAAGGTTAACCTATTTTGGTATCTGAGATACGGACTTGTCTACACTGATCAATACAATGACCTTAATGTCAGATGAACACTGCCTGACAGACATGTAGACCTTGCAAGAAAACCATATATCAAATATGATTATCTTTTTACTCATAAAAAGTGAGTATTTCACATGACAAAAAAAATATTATTTTTTTGAAAGGAGTCACTGAATCTTGAAATAAAATGAAGTCAAAGACAATGGACATATGACAGACGAATATTTCGTAATATAAGGTGTATGCATACAAGGTATGAAGCATCCAGGTCTGCTACCTCCTGAAATATAAAGCTTTAGACATATAGTTCACGCCGTCGCCGCACCGCCGGATTGTAATCCATGTGTCTCGCAGCCGAGACAATAATCTTTAGTACCTCATCTTCAGCGGCGAAAGCGTATCATTCTTGTTAAAAATCCGTTTTATATGAAAACAATATTAAGAAAATTTAACACCGGAATAATCTGGTATTATTGTTCTCAACCTAGTGGAGAATTCCAGATAGCAAATTGAAACGTTTAACTACGATTTTACATGGTCAGTCAAAGATTGCATCTGAATCTGTCAAGATAATCTATTTATTGTTGAAGACCTTAGATTGACCAACAAATGTTTTACCCTTTTTCTGTAGAGCTGGGTTACTGTCTCATTAACGTATTATCCACAATCATGACAATGTTGTACTCACATGAAAACAAAAATAAATTCAAAGATCTGAGCTCAACGAACTGGTAGCTGTGTTTCTTAAAACTCATTCAGAAACTATCAGCTGGAATTATTCTTACCAGCATACCATGTTAAGCTACTTGCTATAAATTACGTTCAACGTTTTCGAAAATATAGGCATTTCCATCACAGTCTATGTCTATACCTCTCGGACTTGAAAGTGAATCATTTTGTAAGTAAAGACTTGTTCATTAAAAACCACTGTATTCATTACTTACTTACTTACTTATTAGAATCAGTTGTCAAAATAACAAAAAAAAGATATGATCACACATTACAACTTTATTCAAATAGAAAAAACTATAACTGCCGGGCAGCAATTCTCATAATGGCGTCGAAAATGCGACAAAGCTCACGTGCTTTTCCATTCAAAAAATTGCATTTTTTAGAAACGGCATTGACGTCATGAAAAAGGCTGCGTAAAGACATTTAACCTGTTTTCCATTCTAAACCAAGTATACCCTTTGATGCGGCAGATTCCAAACTTTCACTACGTTATTCTTAAAAGGCTGAAAATACAATATTTCATTGCAAATTTGGTGGTGAAAGATGAAAATACGGGCCGCGGAAGTGACACTTGAAAATAAATAAATGTAAATTGAAATGACACACGAAATAGTAACGTCTATTCCTATATATGAGATGATAACTATTGATATTTTGTTGAAGAAAAGCCCACTGATAGAAAAACTCGACAGGTAAACCGGCCCAGTGACGATTCGACAAGTCGAAAAATAGGACGTTTAAAGGGGAATAACTCGATCCCAAAACAACAACAATACGACGGTGATCATAAATGACTGATTGAACAAATGTTTTCCCCTTATTATGGATTTGTAAGCAGTGTTACTGGGCACAAAATAGAAAGTTTAATAAAAATGTGAGTTTCAGTTTATAAAAATATCATTGAAAAGCGGTCATTTGTTAAATATCGTGTCTTCCTGTTAGTGTATCTGATAACTGTCCCGTCAGGATATAAACAGTGATCATCATGCCCCTCATCTGTTACAAATTTATGTACTTAATTGAAGTAAATGGTGTTCTCTAGAAGCTGACTGTTTGAATTTAACACGTCCACCAGTTTTAATGGTGGATACACTCCTGATATTTGTAAGAATGGATTGAAAAAATATTTCATGGAATCATGGCTTTTATTTCAGTTACTATTCCCATAAAAAATGTCATCCTTATTTTCTCAAGTAAAGTTCATAGTTGTGATTCTTATTTGAATTAATCAGAGACATATTAAACAACATATCTCAGGTTAAATAATTGTTTCTGAATAAATGTCAATGAAAAAAACATTGTTTTAATATCTATTTATTTGAACTAAAATTGAAACCACAAAAATACATTTTTTGTCCATACTGTTTTAACAATATCCAGAGGATATTTTATTCGGTTAATTTAACTAGCAAAAAATAATTTAAAAAAAATATATTAATGATCTTCATCTTCCTTTAAAAAAAATCCAGATGAAATAAATTAAAGTTACTAGATTATATCTGGCATACAGAATATTCTGCAAAGTGCATTTACATGTAATAAATTTTATGTTAAATTTTTCAATAAAAAATAATCAGTTCTTTTGAACTAAATCATGAGCAGAACTCTTGTTCATTACCCCTTCATTAATAGTTCAAAAACCCTTCTTCAATCATTAAATATAACATATTAAGGTATAAAGGAAATTTTTTTTTCTGAGACAAGTGCATGTGGTTAAGCAGCAGTACACAGAGTTATACTCCTGGCTTTAACATTTACAATATAACAACCAGCAAAGCCAGAGAGGGGTATTTGCAAACTATTTATAAACAAAACAACTTTAATATAAACAATGTAAACATACTAACATTCAACCTGACAGTATTTGATTCTTAAACTTAACCCACAGCACCAATTATTTAAATTATTTTAAAGAGAAATCAGGGCCATTTATAAAAAAAGGTAACCTTTAGTTCCTTGAAAAAAGTTGGTCTGGCTATTTTGGTTCCTTTCTAATAGGATTTTATAAGTTATTTTAACTGATTGCATGATTGTGACTTTTTAAAATTAGACTTTTCAATCTTTTTTCAAAAGAAGTAAACTTTGCAATTTCATTAAATTTTTAAAAGAAAGCTTTTTAACAAACTATAAAGCTACACAAAATTTAAAAATAAATAAATATTAGTATCACCTCCACTTACTATTAAATCAGCATAATATAACCAACCTCTAAAAGAGGGACACTTACAAATGCTTGGTAATCTGAAATTTCATAATTATAAGTTTTATAATTGGCTATGAAATGTTATGTGACCTGTCTTATGCAACTATAAAACAAAAGATAATGTTGAAAACTAAAAAGTAAACATATAAATAAAGGAAATGAAGCCATAATAACAATCAAATTAAATAAATGAAATTATAAATAAGTAATAAAAAAAATTTAAAAAAAACAGATGTGAATTAATTAGTAAAATAAATTGCTTCGCTGAGCGCAGCTGGATACAATGGCAGATGTCCAACCCTGAAAAGTTGGGGCCAAAATGGACACAATATTCACACTTGATACAGGTCTGAGTTTGGATTGTAATTAATTATTTGACACGTTATAGGTTTCTGACACAGAATAACTGTTGTCAAAGAACTGAAAATTGGTTATATGATTTGAATTTATATTCAATTTTTTGCTTTTGTGCAATACACTATGCTGTTGCAAATTGTTGAACCCCCCCCCCCCAAAAAAAAAAAATTTGTTTTTTGTTTTTTTGCTTTTGTGCAATATACTATGCTGTTGCAAATTGTTGAACCCCCCCCCCAAAAAAAATTTTTGATTTTTGTTTTTTTGCTTTTGTGCAATACACTATGCTGTTGAATATTAACCCCACAAAAAAGTATTTGAAGAAATTTTCTTTTTAATTTCTGAAATCTGAAATGAGAAAAATTGTCCCCCCACAAATTCTTATTGAAACCCCCCTCCAAATTTTTTTCACCTCCCCCTTTCCCTCATTCCAAAAAAAAATTTTTCCCTCAAGATATGGTCAGAATCTCAATTCAAATTTCTAATGGAGTTTGCAACCATAATTACCCATTTAAATACATCATAAAAGTCTTAAAATATAAAATGACATACATAGTCATGGTTAAAATTAATATTAATTAATAGTAACTGCAAAAAATAAATTGACAGCTAATCACCTCAAGACAATCATCATTTCTTAATACATAATTTACAAGCATTGTAAGGCAGGTAATCAACCATACACAACATTTTTCTTTAAACGGGATTGGATTACCTCCCTTACACTGCTTTTAAATTGTCTTAATTGTCCTTTAAGCAAAAAAATCCTTGTTTTCCCCCTTTTTTGCCCCTAATTCCTAAATGGTTTGAGCCATAACCTCCAAAAGTCAATCCTAACCATCCCTTTGTAGTATGGAAATTTGTGGTATAATTTCAGAGAGATTCATACACTTACACTTAAGTTATTGTCTGGAAACTACAAAAATACTTATTTGGGCCCCTTTTTTGGCCCCTAATTCTTAAACTGTTAGTACCATAACCCCCAACAACAATCCCAACCTTCCTTTTGTGGTTATAAACCTTGTGTTAAAATTTCATAGATTTCTATTTACTTATACTAAAGTTATTATCTGGAAACCATCTGTCTTCGTACGATGACAATGTCATACCAATATACGACTGCAAAAATTTGGCAGTTCTTGAAAAAAATATAACAACTTGCTACTTGATCACATGGTTGAAAAAAAATACACAGTTGGGATGATTTTGTCTTGTCCAGTAGCAGCTTAGCCATGACCTGTTCAAGAAAACATCCAAACTCATACTAAATTTCCCAATTTTTAGAACTTGAAAACATGAAAGTGCAATTAGAAGAATAGAACTAAATATTTAAATATAAGTTATCTTAAATTGAATCCATGCGAATTGTTTTAAATCCCCAAAAAACTCTTTTGTGTTCAAAATGAATCTAAAAAAAATGTAAGAGTTGTCTTCCTTAGTGCACCTTTTTACTTAATTTACAGCTCTTTATTTAGGGCAACCAGAGTTACCTCCCATATAATTAATGAAAATTTTAGTGAAATTTAGACACTCCTTTTTGGCAGAATTCACAGAAAATTTCACAATGAAATAAACATTTCAGTGGCCATATTATGAAGCTCTCCACTTCTTATTTATGTTTTAAAGAACCTGAAATTCATAACAAAAGGCAGACAGTTACAGAATATTGAACATTGTATACATGTATCAGATATCTTCAATTTCATATGAACCTGAGTAAATACATACAAATAGAATTAAAGTGAAATGCGAGAAACAGCATATATAGTATTAATTATAAGAATGGTTAACAAGTGTGGACGCAGACCAGCATGGATAGTATCCAGCATTCTGAGAGTATTGCCATCCCCTACCAGTTGAAATTATTTGTTCCCCAAAACAAAATTTGAACTTGATATGTAAATTGTCATGTTAAAACTATAGATACCAAATATCAAATCAGTATAATGGTAGTCTGGCATGACTAAAAAGAAAAGTGCAGAAAATTGATTAATTGTGTGATTTTTCTAGGACTAAGGATCATATAACTCTGCAAAATATCATCAAATCAGAACAAAATTTAAACTTCATCTGAAACTTGTAAAGGTTAAACTACACAATGTATATATGCAGAAAACAGATTACTTATGTGATTTTTTTGAGTCCAAGGGCCATAATTCTGCAAAAAATCATCAGACCGGAACAAAATTAGAACTTGATCTGTAACTTGTCATGGTTATATTATAATATACCAAATATCAAACCAATATCTTCAAGCATGACAAAAAAAGTGTGGAAAGCTGATTTCCCGGACGGATTGATTGACAGACGGACTGATGGACAGGGTGCAAACCTAAAGTCCCCTTCAACTTTGTTGGTAGGGGACTGTAAACATCAATTTAGAATCTATATAAACATTGTAACATTGAAACATTTACATGGATCATAACATACCAGCTTTAAATGCTGCATATTAAATTATCTGAGCTCATCATTTAGAGGAAAGGTAACAGTAAGAATTAATTGTCATGTCAATAAATTGCTGTAGAAGAGCCCCAAAATGAGTATGCTGGACACCTATACAAATGTTATACATGTACGAATATATCCATTTGTCTGTAAGTATGTAAGACTGTTGGTCAACACTAAATGTAGAAAAGAAGTAACCTTAAAATTGGAGAAAAAGTGAAATTATATCACCAGTCCTATACAAATATGTGCATATTTCATTTTTCTTGAAATTAGCAAAAAAGAAACAAAAAAGTTTATTGAACGACATAGGATTCTGAGAAATAGGGTAATAGGCAGTTAGCGCCCTTCCTAGCAATTTCAATTAAACCAGATGCAGATTATTAAGGATTATGAAAAGAGAGAAGTGGGACATATAAAAATATGTACTATAATCATCAATTTAGCTTGAAAAGGCGGTGCGGACGGGACTGGTCCCTGTAAATCTCCCCCTTCAAAATTCATACATTTCCAGGCCTGCTCAAGCCCAACTCTTGTAGGATTTCTTGCTGTGTTGAAGACACATTGATGGCCTAGCTTGGGTTGTTTTGTACATTTTGGAATGCACATTCCCCATCTCCATTCTTTATTCTTTTTGTATGCTATTATATATATGGACATAAGAATGCAGAGGACGATAACAAATTTCAGTATTTAAGGTGTTGGTGTTGAAGGCTACATTTTTTTTTATAAAAGATTCATGGTCTGAATGTTGCCCCCACCCCAAACTTTTTCTTTTTGACTTAAAATTTATTAATTAGTGTCTTGTAAATTTTCAACGAGTCAGAAATACGTTTTGCAGATGAAAACGTGGAAATTATTGTTTGTAAACAATCTTTTTCAACTGTGAACTCTTAATTCAGACTACGTCATTGGGGCAGAAAAGGGGAATAATAAGTAAAAATTAGCTGGAAAGGTTAAATATTGGAGAAAATATCAAGACTACATAATTTCTTAATGATTTAACCAGTATTAAGTTTCATTTGATTCAAAATATGGACGTATTTCAAAAATTAGGAGAGGATTTTTTCCCCGCTACCTACAAATATGCTTTGGGGTTGACAGGCCGCTTAAGTATTTTAAATCGCCTGGTAACGTCATGTGACCATACTGTAGCTATTCTCCATGCCTCAATGTATCAAAATATACCAGTCATATTTATTTTCACTAGGTAAACCGGCGGTGTGATGATTCGTTTTGAGCTGAAAAATTGACCAGGGCAGTCGATGTGAAAAAAATGTCCGTTTCACAAAATGGAAATAATCGCTTGAATTTATTAAAATGTCTTATGTCATCCCGCTTTTTTTATAAATTTATTTTGCTTGAATACTTTAGATGAAATATGTTCTAGATCGGTCTATAATTCCGTTTATTTTAAATGAAATTTGCGATTTTTCGATGCGTCGTTCACGGCCAATTTTCTTTTTACCGCGGAGCGACATCTGTTGACAGCTTTTCCCCAAATTATCTCCACTTGATTCTCTTGTCGCATATCCGGGGTTTTAACGGACAAATCAGATGATTGCGTTCCGGCTGTAAGGTTCAAAAAATTTCACACACAACAACTTTCCCTGTTTGATAGCAAGTAACAAGGAACTGGTTACTGTTTTTCTTGAAACGAATAACACAGGGTTGTTTTATTCCAACACTCTCGGCTGGAATAATTCTTACCAGCTTGCCATCTTTCGTCAGTTGGTGTATATTTCCCGACGAGAATGCGCAAATATACACATTCCCATCGGTATCTACATCTATACCTCTTGGGTTTTGAAGTTTATCATTTGTGTAAGTAAAGACTTTTGTATCATTTACCGTTTTGGACACTGTATTTGTTCCATCTGCACAGATATAATTTTTGCGGTCTTGTGCATAAATATAAAAGGTGTCCCCGTTTGTTTCAGCTTGTTCAGTTTTGACACCGGTGGAAGAGCTTATCCAGGTTAAAGTATTATTACGTGCCAGAATAAATTCTCCGTTGACATGACAGAATCCATGAGATGAAAAGGTGTTACCAATTACACGGCACATTGTCATATCATTCATGTTGATGGTAAAAATATTATTCGAATCTGTTGATACTGCAGCTATTGTGCCACTTATTTCATCTATATCACATGGTTTGTTTGATAACTTAAGTTCAGAGAGTCGGCTTCCGTTGTGGCTATATTTCAATATTTTCAATAACTGGTTGTGTGTAAAGATAAATTCATCTCTCATAAAAAGACCACTTAGAAAGACAGACTGTCCAGTAAGTTCAATGACTTTAATTACATTTATATTCCCCGTTTGAAAATTTGCATTCTTTCTGAAAGTTAACTTCGGAACTCTTGCGTCGCTTTCAACTAGCCTAATAACTCCTATAGATGCGACTTGGTCAGCAAATGCTTCTGCTAGATCATTAGTCTCTAGAAGCATGGAAACATTCTTCATTTCGCTTGTACCTTTGGCAAATACATCACCAAATGTCACCTTATTTTCGTTGATTCTATTAAGTTCCAATAAACACTGCACTTCGGACCCATGTTGTAAACAGGTATCAAATATTGTAATCCAGTTATCAACTGTACTTTTTAGACTTTCAAGTTCTGTTGACTTTTCGAAAAGTTTCAGGCCGACTTCCTTCTTCGATTTGGTTATTTCGTCCTTAATTCGTTCTTCAATTGTGTTTAGATGTTCAACAATGTTATCCTTAATGGTACTGACTTTTGTAAAAATAGCTTCAGCCTCCTTTTCGAAATCGGTCTTAAGGTCTCTCCTTTTCTGTATTAATTCGGACAGCTGTTTGCTCGTTTCTTTTAGATCTGTAGACAATTTCATAGCTTGTTCTGATTTTGTTATACCTGAAGCTGCCTTCTCGATTGTTATGACATCTTCACATTTTCTATGCGATAAAGTCGCACATAATGTACATAATGGTACAGAATGATCAACACAGTAAGCCTTTACTACCTCCCCTGAATGTTCTTCGCAATATATCAACGAAGAAATGCTTAACGTTTCTTTGTTAGTTACAATGTCTTTCAGCAACATGATCGGGTGTTTTGCAGTCATCTTGAACGATTTATGACATTTTTCACAAGATTCACAAAACGCCTCTCCACATACAATGCACCAAGATAACGCATTTTTCGATTCATTGTTCGCTTTACAAGAGTCGCATATTTTTTCGCTTCTTCTTATTGCTTGTCTATCCATCATTGAAGTAACAAAATGATTACCTGGTAATTTTTCAGCCCAGGTCTCAGGATTACCTGTTGACTCTCCCATCAAAACATTCTGTCGACAAATCGGACACTGAAAGTTCGTTGTTGTTTTCTCCTTTCCCACGGTCGACTTAATGTAAGTATTAATGCATGTTTTGCAGAAAGTATGGAGACATGGTAAATATATAGGCCTTGTAAAGGTCTCCAAACAAATAGTACATGTCAATAAATCATCAAAATTATCTGTTTTGTCTTGTGCAATCGCCATTTTAAATACAAGTAGTTTAAATTAAACTTCCTTGTCACTAGTAATGATTACTCTGGCGTTAATAGTCCAGGCGATTATTGTTATTCGTAATATTCTTCAAACTTGTAATATTACGACAAATAGTAATATTACAGCTTTGTGTAATATAAGGCCTATATTACTCAATGGCGTAATAATCAATATTACGAATATCTGTAATATAGTTTTTCTATCTTACGAATATTTGTAATATACGATTAAATGGCTGTTTCATAAATTTCGACGTGTTTTATCATGATACCAAGTAGTCTTTCTAAAAGAAATACACACGGTAATCATTTTTACATATGCAGAAAATTTTGTTTCAAAGCCGAAACAAAATGTTTACAAAATTAATGACTTTCCTACGCAATGTCCTAACTAACAACTGAAGTTTGAACAAACTGTTTATATCTCTAATCTTAAAACTAATTTTCTGTGAAAGAATAACATTTTCTCTTGCCAGAAACGTTTTCTGTGTTGTGCTTTAAATGCTAGTATTGCGTCGAAAAATCTTTAAAGAAACATGTGTATCGATTCCCAAACCATATTTCAATGGAGACAACTCTTGGTCGCTTAGAAGTGGTTGAATAATAAAAATCGTTGTCTCCCTTAAAATTGATCTAACGCACTTGAAATTTCACTGTTAAACAGAAGCTGAAAAAATTAGGACAAATCTGATAAACTGAATTGATTTCAAGTTATTTTTGGAATATTAAAACAATATTACATATCACAGAAATATAAAGAGATGTGCATGACATCTTGCACACACGACGAAGGGAATCATGTCCTATGTAATAATATAATCAGGAGAAATTAAAGATTTTCCGCAATAAAATATGTTAGGCACCGACCTTTTTTTTGTTATTAGGGAGGGATATTTTCTAAATAGAATAGATATAAAACAATAGATGACTTTTTAATTTTGTGTTTGATTTTCAATGATAAAGCCTTGATCCCTCACCTTTATTCTATTCTTACGTATACGCCGCTAATAGTTTCGTAACTTGAATTTGTCCTTTTGTATATAAGCGGTGCTACCCAAAAGAAAAATGAAGAAATTGTTTTGTAAAAGATTGGAGACGCAGTTGTAAATTTTCTTTTAACCTGGTTCGCACTCGTTAACCCAGCTGTCCTTGTGTATTCTTTCATTAAGGTTTGGATAAAAACTGTCATAAAACATTTAAGACACAACAAAATAAGTCTTTGTATTTAAAATAATTGTTTTCTATTACAAAATACGAAAAAAAATGATTTGACAATTTCAATTAGCTTATATTCATATTTCTATTGATGAATATTTTTACATATTGTGTGTTGAGAATGATATATGATTTGTTTTGATTTTTGTTAACAAGACTTGTAAAGTTATTCCCCTCCCATAAAAACCACACACACAAAACGAAAAAAAAGAAACAACGGCATACCGTAAATCCTGGTATGGTAAGATGATATGGTTAGTGGTTTGGTACAAATCCTACCATGACGTGGAATGTAACGATGGTATCATGGTATTGCATGGTCATAAGGCATATACTACAATCCCATAGTTAAATAAAATACTTATTGTAAAATATGTACGGGTTATGTTCTTCTCATATATTTTATGATGGTATGATACTAAACCCCTAACGGGAGGGATTGTACTTGATTTTCATATGATGAAGACATAATCTTTTAATCAATTTAATTGAGGTTTGGAACTGGCATGTCAGTAACTGCTAGTAGTCCTTTGTTCATTTATGTATCATTGTCATTGGTGGCCTTCGGCTGTTGTCTGCTCTTTAGTCGGGTTGTTGTCTCTTTGACATATTCCCCATTTCCATTCTCAATTTTATTTAGTAATAAACTAAACTCATGTTAGATCTCCATGATATTGATAGCAGAGATTGAACTTGATAATAACTTGTTGAACTCATATATATAACCAGCTAAAAAAATCAAACATCAGAATGGTAATAAATGTGGAATTCGGGATACTCCCGTATATATTCATGATTCACAAGGGTTCCTATGAAGATAATAAATAACATATTATGTACCCTAAAAAAGGTGCACAGATAACTTTAAAATGCACGGTGGTATTTGTACCATACCATTTGTGTATAATACATGTTACGATTGGATTTGTACATAACCATTATATTGATTACAATATCACATATCATACCACTGTACCATACCATGTTTTAAAGTATGCCCCTAAAATGCATCAGACGGATTAAATAAAAAAAGTACTTATTATCGCAGCTACATCTCGTCACTCTAAATACGTTTTGACACTTGTTTTGTATTGGTGATCAACTTCTTACTTACTACAACACATAATATGGGATTGCAAAATGATAGATTTCATTAATTTAGGAGGGGCTCTTCAGCAAAGCAACCATATGTTATCAATGTAAGATATAAAGTTTCAAATTATGACATCTTGGTTTAAATACAATTGTTGAAATAATACACATCAATTATATCACTTGATACCTTTAGTTTTAGTTGGGTTCGTATTGCTCAGTCTTGGATTTTCTATGTTGTTTGGTTACTGTTGTTTGGCTTTAACTGTTACTGTTACTGTTACTGTTCATCTTTTTTATTTTCGACTTGTGAGTTTGTCCCCTTGGTGTCCTCCCCCCCCCCCCTCCCTCTTTTAGAACTTTATTCGTGTGTTGTATGTTTCTTATGTACATGTATATAACTGTAATTTATGTTATGTTTACTATTTAACCCTTCAAGTTTTACTGTAATTATCAATAAATAATTGTTTTTTTTTTTAATAATCCTAACTAAAAGAATTATTCAGACACTAGTCTAGGTCTGCAATAAAAATTGTGTTTATACAAGAAGAATATTGATTGATTGATTGGTATTTGATTTAACACCACTTTCAACACTATTGTGCTATAAAAAAAGTTCTGTAGGAAAACTGACAATCCTAGTCAATAAAGATTGGAGTAGAGTGCACCTGCTCTGGCTAGTGATACAGTAGTTCGACTACTTAGACCACTTGGCATAAAAGCCCCCTACAAGAAAAATAATCAAAGCACCAAGGAAGCTATAGGCAGTTAATTAAAAAACTAAAGGCAAACTTGGCAGAAGTTAAGATGAATATTGTGGAAGAATTGGTGAAAATATTTATCTCAGCTATTTCCCAAGTATCAAATAATGTTTGTACCGTAATGTTTCCGCTATCCAATCCTACCACGTTCAAAAGTTATTTCTAATTCATTTTTTAAAGATTCAATGTCTGAGATTATGCACATACACTGTCCCATGTTAGGGGAGAGTTTTGTGCCAGCTAACATGTTTAACCCGCCACATTCTGTATGTACCTGTCCATAGTGAGGACACAGTAATAAGGTGATTGTTGATGGTTGCTGTATATCATATTTATTTTTCATAATTGTTTTGTACATAAATCAGGCTGCTAAGTTTTATTGTTTTACATTTGTCATTTCATGGTCGTTTATAGCGAAGTTAGACGAAATTAAAATTACCGCCAACTGAGACTGAATATTCCTGCGCTTTTTGCCATTTGGCAAATGTAATTAAACGACTTGTAATTGGAGATTTTTGGCGATGGAATAATACATACAATTGTTCTTTGACATCTTAGCCAAAAGCACAGGGGATAATAAACTACATAAGGATTTCTATTGAACACTACTTCATATGTACAACTTCAAAACTTTTGGGTGGTTCGACCATCATTTAAGGTTTTTCTGGTCATATTTTTTGTATTCCAGAATTAAAAGTATGAAAAAATTGTTCAATTAGTTATAAATAACATAATAGCCAGCTAGATAATAACAATGGCACCTATTTCAGCATTTATTGGGTAGAACACAAATCTAGGGTGCTAGCATAAGGCAACTTAACTGCCTAAAATCGGTTTAATGTTTTGGGAGAAACGCATCAAAAAGTGTTCCATAAGAATAATTTAAGAAAAATTCGTAAAGGGTTACGTGAAACCCTGTGTTTCGCCCACGGTTGCTGCTGTCCGATTAAAAAAAGTGTAATGTTGACTTAAAAGTGAGTTTGTTTATCAGTAAAATACAGAATTTAAAAAAAAACTTTGTCTTCGGATGCTATTTCTTGGAGATTAGCTTATGAATAAGTTTAATGACAATCCATCAAGTTTTACAAACTTATCATGTCCAGACTGTCTGTATATATATATTAACTATTAAACTAAGTCCATCTATCAGAAAATACTGAAAAAGAAAAAAAATATTTTCAAACATTTGTTTCATACATTTTAAAAATTTTAATTATAAAAAAAAAGCTTCTGTCAAAGTTTCATAAATTTCTATGAAGGTTTAACAAAGCATTTGATGTGTAACAAACTTCAACCCATACTGTATCTACTTGTTAACTGCAAAACTAAGTCCATTTTTCAGTAAATTACGGAAAATGAAAATACATATTATCAAAATTTGTTCTGGATACTGTTCTGTGGTCATTTAAAAGATTCTGTCCACATTTCATAAAATTTCATGAAAGTTTTACAAAATAGTTGAATACTGAAAACTTCAACCTGAGACTGAATCTGAATGTTAAGTGTAAAAAAAAATAGTCCATTTATCAGTAAAATACGGAAAAAAGTTTTGCTCTTGATACTGTATTTTGGTCATGCACAGCTTCTTTCCAAATTTCATAAAAATTCTGTGAAGGTTTGACTAAGTTATTGATGACTGAAAAGCTTTAACTTCAGTCGGGCTGAATCTTAATGGTAAGTGAAATAAAAACTAGGTCCTATTCAATTTATCAGTAGAATACGGAAAATGAAAATAAATATTTTCAAATTTTGCTCTGGAAACAGTTACTCTTTTCACAAAAAATCTTAAGAGTAAAAGTACTCGCAAGTCATAAACATTTTAGTATAACTTACGACCAATTTTTAATCTTAAGACTTTGTTGGGAAAAGAGTCGCTGTATTTTGGTAATAAATAAGCTTCTGTCCAACTTTTATAAAATTCCATGAA